GTACACTAACGGGACGGTGACAACCGCGTGCCCGCGATAGGGAGACACAAAGGCTGAAGCGAACAACTCGTGCGACAATGACAGCTCGGGTACTACACGGGACTCGCTTGCAGCGTCGTTACCCGTCAGGCTGAACGAGAACGCCGGAATTCCATTTCTGGAACGACTGGAGCCTCTTGAAAACTTGAAAGAGGGATCACGGTGTCACATTCGACCTTTTGCTCGCTCTCTCAACTTCCCAACCGCTCTTTTCACAGTCACTCCACGTGGCCGCACGGAAGTGTAGAGCCGGGATGTGGGAAAATTGTACCACGTATAGGAGCACTCAGTCACTTCGGACCCCCCAAAGTGCAACCCAAGGTGGGTGAATTACGCCACAGTGCCCCTGTCCCCGAAATCGTGCGCCCAGGCCTATCCATGTCTGTGCTGCTGATGTTGCCATGCCTATGCCGGGTTCGAAGATGCAGTTACGTGCATTTGGGAACACCTAACAGTGGTATCCCACTGGCTGGGCTGCTCGCGGAATATCCGCTTCAGTCGCAAGCAAGAAGAGAGATCTGGGAGGAAAAGAAAGACCCAATCCTCATTGACTTTTCTGCGGCCTCAACGGGGCCGCCCACAGGTGGACACCACACGAAAGAAACGATCTGCCGGGATACAAGAGGTCGGTGGAGAGGGAACGCGAACCGGGACAAGGATGCATGTCTCATCTATATCGTCGCCCATGAGTCGACAGCCCTCCTCGGGGCATCCATGATCGTGGATAGTGTAGAGCGGGGGGCAGATTCCATCGCTGGGCGGACCAAGACTCCAATCTTGGTGACGCCAAGGCTAAGCCGCTTGAAACCACAAGTCAAACAATTCGTACCCATCAGTGCGGTCCAACCCTAACCGTATAGATTCTAGAAGGGAGGTAGGAGGGAGCTAGCAGAGCAACTCCAGGTGTATCGCCAGGCCTCGACATCACAGAAACACTTACAATACCCAGAACCCCTTTGCACAGCCCATCATCTCCTGCTCCCGATACGGCGGACATCTTGACTCGGTGATGTCGTAGGCGATGCTAGTCATGGATACCAACCTGAGAACGACCGGAGTGAACTCTGTTGAATATCCTCTGTCCCTGTAACAGCCCGGTTTCACTCAGTTGCACCGCTGCCTCTATCCGTCTTCCATTTCGTACGGAGTACAGTCTGTGAGTATCGTCGCTGGTCTCGGTCTTCCTCTCCACCATCAGGGCTGGCGAGCCGCCTCTTCCAACTCCCCAGTTGCGCAGCATGCATCCACGGGACGGCGACGCTCACCTGCCCGTCTGGCTCCTCACCCTCCGAAGGGAACACAGGATGGATGCGGGTGCATGTGTGTGTGTGGTTCAGCCCATTGAGCGGACTGCAGGAAGACTCGAGGGAAACCCCCTGCCAGAAAACCACCCGACTGCGCAAAGTATATTTTTGCATGTTTTGGCCGTGATCTCGCACAGCCGTATACATTAAACCAGGAAACACCTCACACATACGGCCAATCAGCCCATGATACTTGTGCGTGTTGGTGGAGCAGAAGCTGCGCACTAGCGTCTGCAACCCCGGCTGTTCATATATTTCCAGGAGTCGCCGCCTTCGCGGGGTCCGCCAAGTCTAGAATCTCGCATGTTGGTGCAAGAACAAACTGGGCAAAGCCTGGCTGGACGCACGATTCCCCTTCCCATCCTTTCCTGTCGCCTCTACTTTCCCCGTCCCTGTTGGTGGACCGTGGATTGAGTGTTTGTGTGTGTAGTGTGTGTTCACTCTCTGGTGTGTGTGCCTCTTCTGCAGCCTCTGCTTATGCCTGGATATTGCCCGTCCCTGATCCTGCGCCGCCCTCCCACTTTCTCCTCATCTCTCTTTTCCTGCAAGCTGACTCTTTTTTGATTAGGCCCAGTCAGTCACACACACTCTTTTTACCTTTTTGACTTTCCCGTTCCCGCGCCTGGTCGCTTTTGCCTTCATTTGGTTCGTCTTTTTGTTTCTACTTCATCCTCGCCTCTCGCCCTTCCATATAGGTACTGTCCCGTGCTGTGTGAGTGTTCGCCTTTCGCACGCCGCCCGCCGCAGCCAGCCCGACGTCCGAACACCACCGCTTCATATCGAGACTACGAACGGCCTCTTCAAACCACGATTCAGAGGTTTGAGGCTTTACGCCCGGCCGAGAATGTAACGATGGACTTCTACTCACGAGCAACAAACGATGGACCCGTACATGCTTTTGTTAACCCTTTCGTCGAATTGAACGCTGGGTTGTGGAGTTTATTTGCTGGTGCGACCGTTTTCCTCGCACTGCGCCTTTGGTGTAAGATCACAAGACGACACGGACTGTGGTACGACGATTATATTCTTGTGATATCTTGGGTGAGTTGCGCCTCCCTCAACCAGCATCACCTAGCACCGTGTGCGCACGATTTTATTATTTGCAATGTCTTCAAAGCACATCTAGTCTCCCCTTCGGATACGTTGGCCTGTCAAGTTAGTTGACGTAGTCTGACTAACCAACCCAACTAGACTCTTTTGCTGGCCAACAACATTTTGATTGTTTACGAATTCGCGACCGGCTATGTGCTCAAGGACTCGTCAGAACAATGGGATGACCGCATGCACATACTCATCAACATCTCATCTTGCGGCACTCTCATCGGACAAGCATGGACCAAGTCAGCTTTCGGCGTCACACTCATCCGAATGAGCAACCAATGGCAGCGATGGATTCTTTATTTCTGTATCGTCACGATGAACGTGTACATGATCGCCAAGGTTGTCGTTCAGTGGGGAAAAGTTTGCGGTAGCAAGAGTTACGAAGGCGACTACCGACTGAATTTCTGCCTCGAGAAGAAATTCCGCGACGACTTCAAGGAGGGCGGAAACGGTGAGTTTTAATTGATGGCAGGCATTTTATGTCTGAATGCTTTCTCATCATGTGGTCTTGGTCTGACTCGAGTGTGCAGTTTACAACATTATCATGGACTTCGTCTTTGCGTGCTTCCCCTGGCTGATCACCCGATCGCTGGAAATGAGACGCGCCGAGAAGGTTGGCCTGTGTATCACGATGAGTTTGGGAATGATGTGAGTTTCAATCATGTTCATGATTTTGATGGTTTTTGGCAAGATGCTAACTCTTACTCAGTGTCGCCATTGTTGCCGCCATCAGAGTCAGCTGGAAAGATGAGGGTAACGGTCGTGATCAGTGGTATATCTGTAAGCCAAGCAACCCAATCTCGATGAAATCTCACACAAATCGCTAATACGATCTGATTACAGGGCGCAATGGCCTGTCCCAAGTCTGGTGAGTAGTATTTTAGGAGCCGAGTTCCGTAGCATCTCCACTCAAAGACGCGTTCGCTAAGATTGCACCAGGTACTCGTCGGAAATTACCGGCACCATCATCGTGCAGTGCATCCCCATTCTGCGCCCAATCCTCAGGGAAATCCACACGTCCCTGACCTCTAAGAGACTAGAGTCTACCGCCGGAGGCCAGAGCACAACCTTCGGAAGCAAGCTCAGCAGTGGCAAGCGGATATCGACAGGCGTGATGCAAAACGACAAGCAAGGAAACGAGCGGATCGCGCTCCGCGAGATCCCCGAGGAGCCCGCCGACGACTCACCGTACTGGAAGCAGGACCCTGCCCGCTCGTCCGACTCGACGACATCGCCGTCCGAGACCGACTTTAAGCCGCGCCCGCCCACCGCACCGCTGCCCGACATGTGGCCGCTATCAGGCAACGAGAGTGCGGATCTCAACGGGTCGCACTCCGGCAAGAGCTTAGATTTCGAGCACGACCCTCACAACATCTCTCATTTGGATGTCGAGCAAGGGCATGTTCAGCAAGGGTTATCGCCGCCACCGCCTCGCAGGTTTCCTTAGCCATGATTAGGAACGAAAAGAAAGAAACGATGTCAAGATTATTTCACAAAAAGGAGGCAGTACCAGACCGAGGACTCAGCCCCATCCGGCAGATGTAATTGGGCACTTCACCTCGACAGAGAGACATCAGACGGCTTCGAGAATTATGAGAACATAGAGAATGAGCGCACCGAGCAACAAAAGAGGCCCCTTCATCACGCCCAACACACCTCACAACCTCCACTTCTCCCCGCCAGCAAACCCGCCATACTGGATGTTTCGTCCATGCGGTGGCTTCAATTGGGGTCCCGGGTTCAAGTCAAGATCCCTCGACCCGACGTTCGACAGCTAGCTACCATACCTCTTTTGTTGCGCAACACGATACGGCTCTTTCTCGCTCACTCATGCACCACGACGATCATCGAGACCGGCGCGGTCTCAACTCATGACAACAACTCACGTCGCTGGGATCTGAAGCATTCCCCAAGGAACATCCTGAAGGGAGAAAACTGGAGTTCACGGAGGGGAGGGTACTTGGGATGTGGGGGAACGCAAATCCGGCGAAAATAAGCCCTTGTATATTACTCGCGTTATTTGGATTGGCAGCGGAAATTGTGTGTATACTTTTAACGATTGGGCATCAAGTCATCTCCAATCAAGTACATAGTTCATCATCATCATCATCATCAACAAGAACAAGTTACATATCTTGCTGGAAACACCTCGTCTTTTTTCCGCCGTCCCATTCAGTGTGATCGCCTCTCTCGTCATTTGGCCCCCTTTTGTTCACCACCCCTCCCCTAAACCGAGGCTGAGCATAACATTGAAACAACGGTCCGGGGGCGATCTCTGGAACGGTGAACCTGGGAACCTAGTCGTGACGCAAACTTGTCAAAAAACGTGACATGCTGCACCCCAGTTGAGCACTTTGCGGTCTTCAGGGTTGCGACCTGTTGTTCTGTGACGAATTTGGCTGTGACATCAAAATCCTCCGATGCTGCGCTCACTCAAAAGAGTTAGTGTGGCAGCTGTCTTGTCAATTAGCCACATGCAACCACACCGAAACTCTGAGTTCAGTGCATGCGACCGTTGGAGAGAAAGGTGCAAGCCGCAATGTCTCAATTGAGAACATGTTCATCTCTAACGATCTTTGGTCCCATCAATTAGCCAAACCTTCAATTGCGATGAAGAAACCTCTGGGCGATTTAGGGGTAGGTAGTGTGACTGGCGTGCATTTGTCTCGCATCGGGCAAGGGGATCGATCACACCGAGAATACCTAAGTACCTAGAGATTCCGGGGTGCTGATCGGCGCCACGCTCATCTGAGTCGATAGCAACGTACCTAGTTGATGAGATCCTCGACACATCTACGGCAGTTGAACGACATGGAAGTCCATTACAACAAGCACCGGAACTCTGGAAACCCGCCATATGCAGCGCGCTGTGATTGACAAATGGCCCGGGTGTCACGATGCCGTCCGACCGGTGCAAGTCAGATAGTATTCTGCAGACAATCCCACCTCGTGGCTAGGCACGAAACTCGAGACAAGGAAACACGAGTAATAACGCGCGGCGATTATGAGAGTGCTCAAGCCTTTTCCCCCGAAGATTGTCATAAGATGTTGCACATCATAGCCACCCCAAGAACCAAACCCGTGGCCTCCCATGTTTGATCGTCTGTATAAGCTTGTTAGAACATCGCGTGCGCGCGGCGTTCAATATGTGATACGCCTTATGTTCCTCATCGCCAGCAAGGGTGTTGGCCGTTCAAAGGGGGATGTGTGGCAGGGCTTGGCTTGAAACTGCGACAGGTGCAAGCGATCCGTGCCCGCGCTGTCCACGCCGCTTCCACGCGGACAGAGTGTCAAGAAGACTTGGACGAACGACGTCTGATGGGTTTCTTTTCGGACGAAGATGGAACGAAAGGACTTGAAAAGAGATACGATATGCTACTCCCACCTTCCCGATGGGCAATGTTCAGGCCGGTTTCAAGACCCCGTGTTGAACGAAAGTCTGGTGTTGCACTGTTGCATGTTCTGTCCGTGGAGAATTACCTGACATTTCACGCGCTAGCCAGAACAGCCTCAATGATGTGGGTAAGAACTTCGAAAAAACCGGAAGATGCACATGTCAATTGGAACGTCCTCGGGGCAAGCGGAATGATTGGTCACTTACTTGGTCCAAGTACTTCGTTTAAACTGCTTGGCCAATTGCCTCGGTTTTCTAGATTCTCTCACTAGTAGCTTAGTGCTAGAACAATAGTCAAAGCTCTCGAATTCTCAGCGATAGAACATGCATACACCTGGTAAAGGTTTTCTTTGCAACTCACCATAGTGCGGGTTCTCGGAGTTGCCAACTGTCAGCCAATGGCTTCGGAAGCCTCAGTCACAAGGAGATTGGTGTAAGTACGCGTCTCCCTTGTCCTAAGCTCAAGCTACTGCTCTGACACAAGGATCCTCCCAGCGCCAACTTTATGGAATATACTTTATCTTTGCCATTGGTCTCAAAAGCTTCAGTCCAGAGATAGCTAGTTCGGCTTTTGCGTAGAGACATGTAAACTCCATACAACCTCCGGACTTCCCATATGACAGTTCCCATTTACACTCAAAATGGCCCACTGTTGCAATTCAATTGATCCGACGATACGTGGACTCGGCCGATCAACAGTTCGCAGTCGCACTCGTTCAGCGGCGGGGGAATGCGGTGAAAATATGGGACTTTTAGATGGACATCACGCCATTCCGGGGAGCTGGAAAGATTGTTGACGGGCAGAATATCATGGTGCCGATTCAGTGCAACGCTGCTACCAAAGTTCAGGGCAGCTTCTATGAAGCTGCATCCGTCCGTTCTTGGCAATTTGCATACTCTCAATCAACTCCTCTAAAAATGTCAGCGGTGCTAAATCCACACACGAAAGGAAAGACATGACTCAACAGCTCGTCAAAGCGTATCTTGAACACTATCCTCTTGCATTATACCGAGTCAACCGACGAGAGCTAAAAAAGGAAGCTAACGCAGACGATCCTAATCATCGGGACGGCCCCAGCGATGGTTCCCACTATCTAGATTAAATCCCCCAAAGTTAAAAGGTGAGCTAGCACGCCCGACTCCATGGTAAGCACGTCAGGCGCTGATAAACTGATAGGGTTCCGGTATTCATGACAATGTCCTATGGGCAGACATTTGCTGGTCATTCTTCTGCCCTCGTTCGCCGGAACTGCCGTCGGCCGCGTCACGGCTCAAACGAACACCAGAACGCGTGTATTATACACACTTTCTTCAGGGTATCATCAACCTGGAAGAATCGCTTTTAGAGTTAGAGTTCGGCTCTTGCCTCGGCACGAGAAACGCAGATTAGCGGGTGGTGTATTGGAATGCTGTTAGGCAAATTTAGCCCCGCTGGATTTCTGGTCTCTCCAACTGAATCCAACCTGGATAAAGAAACCCAAAGTCGAATTTACTTTAACGATTAATAGAGGCATTGTAGTCTTCGATCTCAAACAAAGCTTTGAACGCACTATAATCATGAGTGTCATGTCATAATCGCCGGTGGCATTCGTGATAGACTTTGAGCTTGGATGCAATTCTCGAAGCTTTGAATCTTTTGTGCAGAAAGTAATAACTAAGATGTAAGGTAAAAGTATTTAATATTATGCGTAAGAAGAAGTCGTCCTTGAGCGCCAAACAACATCCGAACTTGATGAGACGAAAAATCAAATAAGACCAATAGAGATAAGTCTTAGTAATACCGCTCCTTTCGAGTTACATCTAGCTTCCTCGTATGTGTTGTCTCCTGGAAGGCTAGCTGAACGTTGCGTTTATCATCAGACTCCGCTCTCACAACCTTCTCCCACACTTTTTCCGAAGTGACGCCAGCTCCAGCATCTGCCAGGTCTTCATCGGATGGAGGCGGCGTCTTGAGTGCGAGTATGATCAAGTCTTGTAAATCTGACCACGGTATCACGCTTAGGACCCGGATGCGCTTTCCACCTGACTTGAACTTGAGAAGTTCCAGCACATATCCGATTCCGACTGATGCAGCATAGAAGGTGATGGTGCCGAGGTAGATAAGCATCATGACCTGAGCAAATTCCAATGTCTTACGTCCTTGACCTGATCCGTATCCGTAGCGTTCCGCAGTGAAATTCATTGGGAAAGTCGTGTTGAGCATTGCCTTGAAATCCGCGAAGCTTGAACTGACCTCGACAGTGTTGCCGTTCCATTTATCTCGATGGTGTGTATTATTGTAATGACTTACTGTATGAATACCGCCTCGGTAGCCGTGTTGTTCGTTCAAGTCGAGATACGTCAGCTGATCCTCAGTCTCGTTCAACTTGACCCGGGTCCTTTGTTCTAGATTGCCTCTCGCTAGGCCCTCCAACAGGTAAACTCCGAAGACTTTGGCAAGGAAAATTTCTGCTGCAGTGTTGTTGGTGCCGTCAACAGGAGCCAAAACGTTCACCGTGGTCCCATTTTGTTCTTGCTTCGAAGAAAAGTTCATGATGATCTGTCCGATACCCGTGGCTCGGGCTGTGTCCGATAAGTTCCATCCTGGGTTGAGATGTCTGAACCAATCCGCATGAAACTTCATGACGCGGACATCGGTGTTGTTGCTGCTGCGGTATATCTTTCGCATACTCTCGTCATCGTTCAGTGACGAATGGAGAGTGTCGCTGACGCCTGGGTCGACTGAGAACTTGGAAGGCGCCCAGCTTGCAAGTAAGCTACAAATATAAACCAAATTTTTCTCCTGCCCAAGAGTGGCATCAGGAACTATTCCATTCATAAATGCAATTGACGTGTTTTCTTTTTCCAAAAAGTAGGTGCTTGCAGCTGAAATGTCGTCGTATTTTGGATCGTCCAGCCAATCCTTCGTGAAACGCCTGGGATTTTCCTGAGACTGGCTACATTCTGGATCGTTGAAGCAATTTAGATCCTTAGATGGAAAATATACTGACTCTACAGTTTTCTGCAAGTGACTCCTGTCGTAAATCGCGCATTTGGACTGCACGAACGGCTGGTACAGCCCAGTTCCATTCCCTGAAGGGGAGGTAATGTTGACGCCTCCCCCAGCTGTAAGTCGGTAGCGAGGCTCGCGAGATATGACACCAACGTCAGAGTTGCGAATGAATTGTTGAAAGAGGCCGACATTAGTCATAAGAAAGTGCGGTGGGGTGGTGCAAAGGGTGGTTGAGGCGACGCTCGATTTCTCATCAGCCTGCGTAAATACCAAATGACGCCTGATTTCTGATGATGTGGCGTGGAACGTGATGTTGTTGGTCAAGTCCGTCGCCGCGTAGTCCCGCACCCAGCTCAAGATCTCAGGGAAACCGCTAGCTGTGCAGTATCTTCTTTGTACTCCTGCAGGTCCCTTGCATTCGGCGGATCTACCAAATGGGGACTCGAACCATGTTTTGTTACGAGTCACCCCATACAATAGAGGGGGCTCAATCTTGCTGAACGCTAAGCTGGTGTCAAACTCGTACCAGCCTAGACTGGGCAGAAGCAAGACGGCAGATGCTGGTCCAACGATAGTCGAGACTATAGTGGCGAAGACTAGGAATGCGGGCAGGAGCATCTCCCAGGGCTTCGAGGTGTCGAGACCTTGGCGTCGGAATGCAGAACTTGTCAGATAGGTGAGATCGCCAACTCGATATCCCCCCGTAAGAAATCCCAACCGAATACCACTTGTGACCAGATGCCGTCGATAAATTGCAAGAGCAACAGCTGACAGTGACGCCACGATGAGAAGTTCGTGTAGTTTAGCCACAAGTTGGAGGATGTTACTGATAACATCGGTGTCCAATCGATAACCGCCAACTACCGGGCCAATTTCTGGATACCAGTAGAATCTGACCGAGCCGATGAGGAGAACCGCTATCGTCACCAATATTGCAGGGAAATGAACGATCCATCCGTTGAGTAAGCGTGACCATTTTGTTCGGGTGATGGGCTTCGATGTCTTTGTCGAGTCTTCTATATTAGACAGCTCGGACCTCGACTTGTATTGGTCCTTGTTGTGAACCGCTTTGAGCCTTGGTTCGTGCTGGTCTCGCGGGTCTGTCCTGACTTTGGCGTAGGCCCAGTCATTCGTTTGTCTGTCGCTCGAGCCCTGGCTGTCTTCATCAATGCTCTTAGATCGACTGGAAAGAAGTGGCCTGTCCCACGGCGTCTCCTCGTCAGTCAGCCGTGAAAAGGCTGAGATCGGCCGAGGCGACATCTCGTATTGGTCGAGCGGGGGAGTGATGATCAGATCAGGAGAGGGTTGATTGTCATGCAGGACCTCTCGTCTCCAAGGCCTGTGTGATATGCTCTGAGGTCGCCACCGCCGCCTAGAATCATCTTCAGGCGAGTCCATCGCATGGATGGTATCTAGAATAGATAAATTTTCTGCAGGCTGGGACGTTGCGAATATTGACAATATAATCGGCGCAAAACCAGAAGGAATGATGAACAAAAACGGGCAGAGTTTGCGTGGTCAGAATACCGAGGCTGCCGGTCATTAATAAGTAGGTACACAACGAGTCGACAAATCTTACTTGCAGTACACTATCTTGTTGTACTTATGGGTAAGTATGCACCCGTCGACCTCAGCTGGAACCCCTCCCTCGAACCGTACTAGTCGAAAATGGATGCAATGTGCAGACGCAGCCTGATTCATTCAAGCCCTGATTTAAATATAGCAAAGACAGGTTTCGCAGCCTCATTGAACCACATAAGATAAGAAACGCCGCTAATTCGAAGAGCTTCTTCGTTACATGCACCGAGCTATCTACTAGACATATCATGTCGTTATGATGAGGTTGTTATTAACCTTATGTCAACATGTAGTTTTTCTCAAGATTGGTCTAGGTTGATACCGAGTCCTTGAAGAATACGAAGTACATTGGAGAGTCTTCGTTCTTGCAAAATTGTGTCGAGGCCGGAAGGAAATTCGACAAGATTTGCCGTCAACAAGAGAAGTTTTTGTAGTATGACGCTGCGAGATGTCATCAAGCTGAAATACCTTCAAGATGAGCCATAGCATTGGTATCGATGCGATCGCCATAAGACTTAACTTGGTCAGGCTATGGAATAAAAGTGTCTGCCTGAAAAGAACATTGAGGACATGACCAATCGCACTCGAGCCGCTCAGTCCCAAGACCCTTGACGGAACGATTGCCTTCGTGGGCAGTGCAGTTAGAGTAACACAAACATATGGTTTAGAAGGGCAAGCTGACATGATAGCCCCCAAAGTGGCTAATTCGTATGCAGTCAGCTTTGTCCTTGCATTACCGTTAGCTGGACGGATGACTACTGGACCAGCCAGGCGGAATCTCGGCTTCCTGTTGGTCTCTTTGGATTGGACGATACGAGGCACTCAAGATCCCGATAAGGCTCGGGGACTCAGGGAGGCGCAGCCTGTTCGGCTTGAGAACATGCATACAACATGTATGAACCCAAGGTAGAAGGACTATCCTCACGTCATCATCAAATCGGTCGCGCACGATCCCAAGAGGATGTTCGATGAAAATTCGGTTGCGCGGCTTCCCAATTGGGGGTCGCTGTTTTACTACTTACTCCAAGAATCCGGGTACAGGCAGACCCTTTCGTTACACTCTATGGCTCTTTGATAAGCTGTGTTGCAAGGATATCTTCGTATCTTTTTTTTACTTCAGATACCTCCTTTTGGGGCGGCCGCATGCGCAGGATGTGGCCGTTGCAAACATTGCAGGGTGCAGCCATCTCATGAGGCTACGGAGTAAACATATTGCCCACGCCAAGGAGAACCGAAGTTCAATTCAAGATCAACGTGTAGAGCACTTCTTGTCTTTGCAGACGAAAAAGTCAAACTTTCAAACTTTCGCTTACTGCCGGTCCGAAACTCTCGCATCGACTCGCATGCCGCAGGTAGCTCAGTGTGCCCTGTGCCTTCATCTTCCTCGTGGCAGTTGTTACTTGCGGTGTCCACCAGATCCCGATTAGACTTCATGACTTGCAGGCGCTTCATAAGCCGGATTGGATCAGCATGCCAAGCTTTTTGGCGGCACTTGCTTGCCAATAACAAGATCTGTATTGAATGGATAGTGAAACCCAACGTGGGAAACTGGGATGAAGTTGTTTGGTGCAGCATTGAATGCGAGGCATGCACACCAAGTTGTTTTTTCCAGGTTTCATGAAAATTGATAGGACGTGTGCCGCCATATATTAGGGGCCGCGATCAAAATCCCGCTAAATTTCTCTGCCGTGTCGTGCCAAGCCGCCAAAATCACAAGTACCGGAATGCCGTGGATGTCAGAACCGCGCGAAAGTTTCACAGAGAGAGGGAGAGATTTTCAGGTGGTGCCTAAGAGCATATCTATTCATGCGTCCAAAGACGGGTATATACACTGACGATGCTTTGTTTAACGGGTTGCCTCCAGCCGAAGCTCATCCGCTCGATCAAAGTGCCGAGGGACGATCGTCGAGGCTAACTGATGTACAGTGAATCAGAAACAAAACTGTCCGAACAACCATGCAAGTGCAGGTTATTGGCGAACTTTGAAGCATTCTCTCCAAAATGCTCGACTTCCCCTTGATCAACATGACAGGCCTGCCGTCTGTCTTTGCAGTGATGTTTACATTGGAGTCTTTCATACCATGATTTCCGCACAACATGGAACCATTTAGTCAACGATGAAGAGGTCGCGGGCGTGGTTGCGGCGCTTCTTGGAGCTGTACAGAGCAGGCCCAGGGATAGGGTAGCTAGTAGCACCGCTGTAGATGTCAAAGAGAACACCCTTGTCGTTGGCAGTGTACAGGCTGGTACCAGCAGTGCCGGAGGGCGTGGCGGAACCGCTGCCAGTGATCTCGAGGTTGATGCACTGGGGGTAGAACTGGGCACCGTTGGCCTGACCAGCGCTGTGGAGGGCAATGATCTCGTGGCGGAGAACGTAGTTGCCGGGGGCAATGTCGCTGGGGATAGCAATGTCCCACTTGAGGCCGTTGCTGATGAGCTCGTCGGCGGCCCAGCTGCTGCCGGTCAGACCCTTCTCGGCGATCTTGAAGAACTTGAGGTCGGCCTTGGTGGCGCTGGAGCAGTCTCCGGAGCACTTGGCTAGGTAGTCGATGAGAGGACCTTTGTGAGACTCAGGCCAAGTGTTCCACTTGACGGTGACTGTCTCTCCGGCGGCGACCGTGACGCTGGTCTTTCCGGGGGTAGCGGACTTGTGGCAGATGATGTCGGCCTGGCCGGCGGCGTCGGGGGCAACGAAGCCGAGATCCTGCTGCTGAGCAGCCCAGCCGGGGACATCAGGGGCGGGGTTCTGGTAGGGGGCAGAGGTAGGGTTGTAGTTGTCGATGGTCTTGCCGCCGGCGGTGATGGTCTCAACGTAGCCGTGGGCAGAGACGGCGGTGGCGCCGACCAGAGCAGTGAGGAAAGCCTTGGTGTACATCTTGAATGGTTGTGGGGGTTGTTTGTCAAAAACCAGGTGGATGAAGCGGTGAAAGAACGGATGAAAAGCTCACAGAGCAAAGAATGAATTGGGTCAAAGAAGGGGAGGCGCTGGAGAGCAATGCGGGTGAAGTGAAGGACGAAGTGGGAAGCTTGGATGAGAGAAAGGAGAGAGAAGCTGGATTCGAGGCGTTTCTTATACTTACGTCTAACACCTATTTGCCCAGACAATTTCAGATGATGGGCATCCCACATCGTGGAGCAGTGGCCCGACATCCCGTCAAGGGGGACGAGGGGGTGGACAAACAAGCCCGTAGCTCCATGTCACTCGATGAAAGCCCGTGTTCAGCAAGATCCCAGTAAACATACTAAACCAGACCTCCAACAGACGGCAGAAGTCTCAGGGGATGTCCAAAATCTCAGTGTTCCCTTACAGAGAGCCTCGCTTTTGAGCTCTAGTTCTCAGTTTGCCCCGCGAATTGTTGATATCACTATCGAGAAGCTCAGTAAGAAGCCTCCCGCTTCTTTGTTACTCGACAGGCGCCCGAGCCCTTGGCTGCCGAGCCCCAGCTTCTTCCATTTGGCTCAAACAAGTCTTTCTCCTGTAAAAGGAAAGCTGAGGTCTTGGCGATAACGAACAACGGAGAACACCCCCCCGTACGCGTGGGCTCGGGCCACTGAAGTTGGCCGCCAAAACATTGGACGGACCACAAAGGCGGAGCGCCGGCGACTGGCCACATGGATGACAGATCAATCTATTTCGCACGGGGGCGGTGGGTAACAAAGTCTCGGCGGGATCGGCGGTCACATCGGGGACGGGGCTCGTGGTTGGGTGAGTCGTCGGAACAGGAACGCGGACGACCGTATTGGTGGGAGCGAGACAGCTCACGGGTCTGATTCTGAGCCTGGGCCATTCTGACAGACCTGGGCGGCAGTCGGGATCATCTACCGGGAGTCCGCATGGGCAGTCCCCCGACGCTTCAAGTTGAACGTTCGACCAACGCCTGGTGCTCGCGGCGGCCCCGACCAGCGGCAATCGAAACTAAAGGAGGCGCCGCATCTATACTTCAAAAGCTTGGCTTAATTCATTTGTTGGTGTCGCATGCTGTCGTGGCACCAACGTCTCGACCGCTTGTTTGTAGTTGCTGGTGCTGGTTGTATTGTTCTCAAAACATGCACTTGACACTCTACTGTGGACTCGACGAGTCTCAGTTGATATTTTATCGAGCCGTCAAGTAGATTTGGCGCAAGACTTGGTAATGAAGTGGTAGCAGAAATTCCAATGTGACTGGAGGTCCGGGGGCACCCGATTTGATCGGTAGTTGCTTGCATGACGCATGAGACGGTCCCGGGTCTTAGTGATGGATATGGTTGTCTCGTCGCGGAGCACTGCTCCGTTTAGGCCTTTTGTGATGATTAATGGGCAAGTCGAAAACCCGAGTCAACAGAATTGGAATCCTCAAGATTTGTCGCGTTCACGGCCATCTCCCCGCAGCTCATTGCAACGGTGTGGCGTTCATGGGCCTCGTCATCAGCTTTCAGACAACTCGAACCGAGTGCTGACGGGTCATGAAACACGGAAAAGACAGGCCTCTCCCTGGTAGCAGAGTCCAACCGACCGACGGGAGAGCACAACTTTAATTAATCTTAATTCTTGGCGCTGCTCTTTATAGGCCCGAGCTCTACCTTTTCTGTCCGAGGATCCTGGGAGAAATCCACGTTGCGCAATCAATTCGGATGCAAGCGAGCAAGGAACAAAATGTCCAGCCCCAATGCTGATGAAAAGGGATGAAACTAAAGCGACCGAAAGAAGAAAAGGAGTCTTGCAGTGTGGTGACGTGACGACAGAGTTCATTCCAACTCTTATGCTTAAAATTTTGATCATGGAGATTTATGAAGTAGAATTTAATTTTCTGTCAGTGTGGTTCTTGTGGAGTTCACAGCGAGAGTTCCACTGTGGACGTCCGCTACCTACTCGAATCCATAAGTTGTCGATGGACCCAAAGAACGCTCCTCGACATTATTTGTAACAAAAGAAAGGCACCGTGACTCGCGAAGCTTGTCATCTGAGGCTGTTCACATTTTGGCAGTATTCGTACTTCGCCGACCTCGGGTCTTCTAGAATCCCGGTGACTCCCTGGTAGGGAATTTGATTGGCACACCAGATGTCCATTGGTTGTGGACTCAACTGGCTGAGCCCTTCACAAGCGACAAGCCAGTTCTTCCAAGTTCCAACACGGGGATCCCATCATGCTATTTATCGTTTACAGCAAGCTGCTCCAACGAACCACTCTTCCCAATACTTATTGAAGTAGTGCCGAGAACTGACTCGAATTCCAATGTCACCCCATGACCCCCTTGCGCAATATCCCAAGCTAGAAAGTTCTCACGATGTTTACCCCAAAGCAGCCTCGCTTCACTCATCCTGAAATTGATGCAGTCGCATTCTCATTCACCGAAGCCAGGACAATAGTACTTAGTCGGCAATTGGAATCGGGCCACCACGGAGCTTCCTTGTTAAGGCTGAATTGAGGTCGGAAGACGAGGCATTCTCAAAACGCCAAGAACATGGCTCAATACCAAGTCCGGAATTCGGTTCCGTCTAGGGGCTCAGATGCCGGGTTTGCGTAATAGTATCTTCTCGACGCTAGCCTACATATCACAAAAACAGTGCCGGAATATTCAATGGTTAAAGTATTCAACTCGCTTATCTCCACACGATGCACCACAGTACACATGTAGTAAAGACCGACAAGAACGCCCTCTGGCCTGAGACAAAACCGCACGTCCTAGGTCGAGGAACAGTTTCCAAAATCCATCAAAGAAAACTCCCACTTTGCTTTGTTGTGCCTGTCTCGGTTGAGGTCGGCATTACAAGATCCCGTTTCATCGCTAAAAGTAGCGAAGCACTTAGCAGCCAGCGTAGATGGACTGAGCGAAGAGGGCTAAAGAGGAACATTAGCATTTCATCAAGCTAAAGCTAATAAAGCCAGTCGAGACATAGAACTGAGACTTACTGTAAGTGTCAGCGTGGTTGAGGTTCTGAGCAGCCGTCAAGCTGCGGACGAAGTTGTATCCGTAGCCGTTGTAGTCAGAGGTGCCCTTGATCTGGGTCAGGTGCGTCATCTCGTGAACGATACTATGGCGGTCAGCATCACATTCGATTTTCTAGAGACATAAAGACTTACGTAGTCTGTTGGTCCTGAGCATGGCAAGTTGAAGAGGCCGCAGACATGGTGAAGAAGGTGGGGCCTGTCGCAGGTAGGGTTTCGTTAGATCTTGATTGACTGACGAGAATCACGAGACGGGCTTGAACAGAGCAAGAAACTTACAGTTAACCATGTAGGATTGAGACGGAAGAGTGTATGCGATGACGTTGCTGGAGCAGGCGCCGTAAACATCGCTGCAGTACTGGCGAGAGACACCAGAAGTAGTGCTACCGCACTCCGAGACAATTCTGCCAAAGACGGCCGCAACAGTGTTGCGGGTAGCAGTGGTAGAGGACTTGAAGTACTCAGTCATGCGGGCAGCCGGACCAGAGGCAGCAGCTGAGGACGCGGCAACGGCAAGGGAGCGGCAGCGGGTGATAGCGTTGACCTATTCCGGCAAGTTAGTTCGGGTCAGATCCGGGCCAGAAGTGGAACCCGGCACGGAGCTGGTCCGTGCATCGATCGGAGCATGGATGAGTGACTTACAGTGGCAGTGCGGCGGGTGCCAGTGCAGTCGGCCTGTACGGCCGTGCGCTTCTCAATGAAGGCGATGCGAACAGAGGCAGCCTCCTCACCGTCAACCTCGGTCTTGATGCTGTTGCTGCTGAAGGGAACAGCGCCAGCAATCTCGGTCGAGTCGGCATCGGCATAGAGGAAGGAGCCTTGAGTGACGATCTCAACGGCGCCGCCGGTGCTAAGGTCGTGGAGCTCGGCAGCATCGAACTCAACCTCAACGGTCTCGCCAGCAGCGATGGTCTGGAAAGCTTTCTCGGTCAGGCCGGCGGTGGCAATCTGAAGGCGGATGCCATCAAAGTCGATTTTGTTGCCTATCATGTATTGAGTCAGCGAAAGTCCAGCCTTAGATCATGGGCACAAGACTGACCGGCAGCAAAAACTTCAACCTTCTCAACGGGGGCCTTGTCAAGGAAGGTGCCGGTCTTGAACAGCTTGATGGCAGAGTCACCAGTGTTGGTAAGGGCAGCCTTGACACCGGAGTTGCCAACAGCCTCAAGCTTGACGTCAAGTGGGGACGTGTCGCGCTTAGCCATATCAACGTTGACGGCGCTGGCCAAGGTGGCCAGCAGAGAAATAGCAATGGAGAACTTCATGGTTGATGCAAGAACCGGGAGAGCAAGAGCAGAGGTTGTCAATGAGGATGGAGCTGCGGATGGTGAGACAAGGTAACCATCTTAGATTGAAGGTCGAGTCGCCTCTCTTTATAGTGATTTCCTCGACTTCATCTTTGGTCTTCTGAGTATATCTCGCACTGCTTGTCGATAAAGTTGCATCAAAGCCACATCCTGTCTGAGCTAAGCAGAAAAAGGAAGATAGAACGTCGCCCAGACTGCCTAGACGGACTTGGGACTAGAGCATGGAAGGTGGAACGGGCAAGCCTAACCGATGCCAAGATAGCTAATGTCAACAGGGACGGTGATTAAGACTTTCTGCAACCGTCTACTAGATAGAGAACAGACGGCATTGACCTAATCTACTGTGTGCATCCAGATAGCCCTGCCGATCACAACCCCGCATTGGTCGCGCGAGGATATCATGACACTAAGATAGACACCACATGGCACTGAGTAGGCATTGGCGATGTAGTTGCTTCTTCCTGGATCTCTATGGCTATCGTAGACGCTTGAATCTGATCAATATGGGTATTGTTGCCCTCATTTTCTTGCACATGTGGGTTGGTTATTTCATCGTGACTTCGTTCTACCCTGGTGATACCAGCCTTCGCCAGGGAAAGCCGCTGGAGCTATAGAAGGTAGAAGCAGCGAGACTTCGAGATGAAAACTCCGCCAGATAGAACAGCATCCGCCGGGACTCCGGACGGGCTATTCCGCCGCTGGTGATTCCTTGCCGTGACAAGTCCGCAAAATCAGGGGCTTTTCGCGTTCGGTAGTCTAACCCAAGTCACGAGCGGCCAATTGGACTACACCAAGGCTGCAACCGAAGCTGGTGATCGTTGGTGCCCAGAATTAACGTCAAGTGTCAGCCTCCAATGAGAAATTGCCAAACATGAGATGCCAAGGGTTTGCCAAGTGCACAAGCCGGAGACTAGCTCGAGGGAGGAAGGAGAAGAATAAGGATGAAACCTCGACTTCTTCGCCCGCCGCCAATGTTGCCGGTGCAGTTCTGGAATTAACAAACGTCGGCCATGGTCAAGTCATCAGCTGGCTGACATGTATGAAATAACGCGCCTGCGGACCAATGATGATGGGAGTGGAACATGCAGCTGGATGACTTCGGCTAACAGATAGGAGAATTATGCGGACGCTGGTGGAGCTCGCTACTTTTGAGTTATCGCCCCAAAGTTGTATTTGGCCTGCAAGACTGTGAGCTGTTGACCCAAAGAGGGAGCTGCCAATGCGTGATCGGTAAGCTCGGTACCTTAAAGCCATTAAGGTAGCTTTGCCGAGAAAGCAACCATGCGTGTGCCGACTGGCTGCGAATTATCACTTCAGCAGACTCGACTTCCAACATGTCCCGGGCTTCGATTTGCGCCTCCTGACAATTATCCACGCATGTTCAGTGCCTTGACTTGGCTCGGCAAACCATCAGAAAAAACACGCGACAAATGTTTTCCGAAAACAGCAGACCATGCTGAAAATCTCCCCATATATTAGCCTCGAAACTCCAACAGACCTTCCTTCTTTGGCCCGGCTTTTGAGGTGCGAGGGGCACAGCACGCCAGTGGAAATCAAACTAGTTTCTGGGCGCGGTATGTGAATGCTGCAGCCCATTTCTTATTGTCTCTTGGCTTCTGCTTGGCTTCCTCTTGGCGATAAATACCTCCACTTCCGCCCTCAACTCGACCATGCTCCCCGCGGGCAAATCGCTTTCCCGAAGAGCCAAGCTCAACGATGCCGGAATTTTGTAAGGCTTGTTGTGCTGTTCAGCTCGTATTCCGCAAAAGCGCACCCTCCATTACGTGAAGGCTCATGCTCGTGCATCGGAGATGGCCATCAAAAGAAGAAGGTCTCTTTAGGGATTTTGGAAGCGATCTGTTCACTGCCCTTTTATGAGCTGATTATCAGAGTGAGCAGACGTGGAGATAGTGGAATAATGACTGCTTTTCGTTGATGGATCATTGACGGAGTCAATATGATGCAGACTGAAGATGACGTTCATGATAGTGAATCAACGATGTCGGCATTCGTTGCCTTAAAGACCTTCCTGATCAGATACATAGAGAATGTCTGTCCTAACAAGGATTTAGTTGCATTCAGAGTGGCTGGGAGAAGAATCTTCCGGTCATGACGTTGAGAAAATCACATCTTGGCTTTCAGATCCGTATCTGCAGAAATTGCGTAAAGATAAAAGAGTTCAAATGAAGTCTTTGAGTAATCTTAGCTTCAATAACTTGTGCAGTAACCAAAATCCAAGATAGAAAGGCATCGCGCTTTATAGTGAATTAGACACTAATCGCTGTTACATTCTGGTATGTTGTTTCTTGAACGTTAATACGGCTACCCATAAGTAATGCACACTAATTTCAATTTATTCTTGTGGACAATGATCAGGGAGGAAATTTCAGACGAATGCACATTACGAGATACCCATATCGTAAGAAGGGCTTTTACAGCAGACAGTATAGTCCTGTCGAAGGCAATTCCATTTTTATCGGTTGAGTTCCTGCTCTGTCTGATGTAGTTTTAATGTGCATGCGCCTTTGATTATCCTCTCTACAGCACGCTATGTGTACTCCGAGATTCCGGGAAAATATTTCTAGGCGCATGACAAAATATTATCTTCAAGTTCTTCAAGCACCTAAGGTATGCGCCACTGATACATGAGTAAGTGGGCTATCTAGACAAAGCGCTTTTCTGCCTTGTATACAATGCGCATGAGATCTGGAAAAGGAAATCGATCGAGAATGACACACTCTTATCTTGTCTGCCCGTCAGACGACGTTTAGTTGCTCTGAGCAACAGAAAAGGAATTAGGTTTCGGGGCTTTTTTGACTGGACCAAAACTTAAATCACCTTAAACTACTGCTTACCTTGCCTGCCCTACTTCATATATTGCCAGTGTTACTATCGTTCTTAGATGTACTTTGAATTGTACATAGAAACTTTCTCTCTAAAGCACAATTGCCTGAATGATATCTACTCCATCGGACTGTCTTACCCTGCTGAATCCATCATTATCAACGGTATCTCTGAGCAAAGTCAAGGGGCAGAGATGGCGTTAGTGCCAAATCACTGTAGAAGACTTGAGTACTTTAGTTAGAGGCCAGGATGAGGTTTCACGAATGATAAACCCTCAAAATTAGATGAGTGATCCTCCCTCTCCATATTGTCCTGTCGTACTTAGCTGCACGAGTCTTTGTGACTGCAAGACGAGGACCAAAGGGACTACGATATGTTGGAGACTATCACCTAGAAAAAAAGCAATTCGCAGGCTAACTGTACACTATTACCATATAATGGACCAGTCGGACGTTGGGACTACAATGGCCATAACCGACTGACGAAGGAGCTCATAGATTGTCCTCCCCTCATCTACTCCACTCGGGCAAAGACAAGTTCTTCAAATCTCATTCACTTGCGAACGACCTTCGTCAAAAGTTGAACCGTACTGTACCAAATCGTTGGAGGAAAAGGCGGACTGAAACCAAGGAATCAGATCCCTCCTGAACTCACGGAGGCTTATTTTTGCGTGTGCGCAATTCTGTACCAGGGCTCTAGGAGCAAATGTGTGTGCTGCTTCTGTACCAGCTAACGCCTGCTAGGTGCGACATGATGTCATTGGGCGATGCAATCTCAATCTACCTTACTCACTTGCTCCAGGCTGGCTATGGCATAAGGATCACATCAGCATTTCGAAATAGCTTCGGTTTCGGTTTCGGCGGTGCTCCTTTACTTATTTTCACCGCGTTCCCCGTAGTTGCGGCCGAATGGATCGTTCTGTGGTGAGCACATTGAACATTTTGGTGGTATTTTCTCGGACCAGCCCCACGACGACTTAGACGAGGATTACGAAAGCTGGGGAGGCGACGATCGCCAGCACTGTCGCCGCGTAATGCAACCCCAGGCGCTCAAGACTCAGCCATGATGTTAGTCGATAGAATGCTAGTAAAGCCGCTATATCCGTCAGGGACTATCACCCCATAGGCCATGTTCTGAGCTTTGAACCAAGGCGGCTACACCGATCCTGGCCAATTCAAGTGTAACGAAAAGCCATGTTCGGTGGCCATAATTATACGCAAATGCTGTAGAAGGGGCTTTAGGATGTCATATATATAGCCATGCCGGCTGCTGCGAAACATATCATCAAATCAGGTTACCAATCAGTACTTAGAGCACTTACCTATTCCTTCTTGCCTCTCAACTCTCACACTTTTTTTGACTTGCCGGATTGTTTTGTCCACTTACCAACAATGGTGCAAAAAACCGTCATCGGCGCTGCACTGGCTCAGGCCGCAAGCGCAGCTCTTTACGATACTACTGTTCAGACAAAATATGGAATGATTCAGGGCTACCCGGCGTTCAATAGCTCTCCGGCAAACATGTCTCTTGATAATTGGGCAGATATCGCCGTCTGGAAGGGCATTCCCTTTGCTGCCTCTACCGCAGGCAACAATCGCTTCAAGGCTCCTCAGCCCATCGTCGCATGGAACTCAACTCTGGACGCCAAGTCATTTGGCAGTATCTGCCCTTCTGCTGTGGGCAGCGGTACGGACGCCTACACCGTTGGCGAAGACTGCCTGAACCTCAACGTCTGGAGCGCGGCAAACTCAACGGATGCCAAGTTGCCTGTAGTCATGTGGAGCTATCCGGCCGGTTCGACCGCAGCAATGCCGCTCTTCGACGGAGCAGGCATCGCCGACAAGGGCGTTGTATACGTCAACTATAACTACCGCACCGGGTCTTTCGGCTGGCTTGCAACGCCTGAGCTTAACCAGGAGAGACTTAGCACCGCTGGATCGAACAGCTCCGGCAACTATGGCATGTTGGACCAGTTCGCCGCTTTGAAGTGGATTCATGAGAACATTGCCAGCTTCGGTGGTGATCCGAATCACATCACAGTCATGGGTCAGTCCGCCGGATCGGCGGCTACTTACCATATGCTTAACGGCCCTCTACACGGCGTTCCACTCCATGGTGCCATCATCCAATCTGGCGTCCGCGACCCTCACCACCCCTGTGCACTAGCTTGGCGGAAAACTACCGGAGTCTGGACGTGAACATGGAGACGGCGAGCAGATACATGGCATCGATGAACTGCTCTGATATTGCATGCATGCGCGCTCTTCCGATGGAAGATCTTGTCACCGAATTCCTCAACTCCGAGTTCGACTTCACGGCCACTCTCGACTACTACGCTATGCCGGACACTTATATCAACACTCTAGAGAAGGGAATTGCCCAGGATGTCCCTGTCATGACGGGTAACACTAAAGACGAGAGCGGGGCGGAATATGGCCTCAATATCACTCTTTCAACTTACATCTCTGACTTCAATGAGACATTCAACACGTGGAAGGACAAGTTTCTCGCCGCATACCCTGCCAACGACTCGGCCACCGCCTCGGCAGCTGAAAATGCCCAATGGACTGACCGCTCAAAAGTGGGAACATTCTTCTGGTCGCAGTTGTGGCAAGCCAATGCTACGTCGTCGATTTACAACTATATCTGGGATCACGCTCCGCCTGGACAGACCCAGGGCGCCTTTCACATGAGCGAGATCAACTACGTTCACAACAACCTTTACGTAACCGACTCACCGTGGACTAGCGAGGACTACGAGATTGCCGAAATCATGAACAGTTACTGGGTCAATTTTATCAAGACCGGCGATCCGAATGGAGATGGCTTGAACCAGTGGACGCCTGCAAGCAATGCCAGTGCGACAGTGATGGAGCTGGGTGATGGTTTCCAAGCCCTTCCTATTGCCAAGGACAACCAGATTGAGTTGTTTGCCCAATGGTCCGATACCTTAGTTGCCTACTAGGGTACCTAGACGACACGTTCCTAAGCGGAGTCACTGTCAGGCTGCAAGCATATTGCATTTAATGCCTTAGGGGGATTCACCAGAACTATGTATATATATCTTACTTCATATATTCTCCAGTCTTATAGCTATTTCAAAACAATTCCCTCCCACGCGGGGCCCTCCAAATGTAGTCATCATGACATGTATCACCATCCGAACCAGTATGTGTATGTGCGGAATTTCAAACGTCAATGTCCTTTTCAGCTCTGCGATTTTGCTTACTTGGGGATCTTGAACGGATGTGCCTCTGTGTTGAGAACGTAATCGTCCAGACTAACGAGATCCGGTGGTGAAAAAATGAGATAGAAGTACTTGAGAGTCTCAGCAAGCCAGAAGCTCTGTGGAGGGAAGGAATTAGCAACTCGTGTCGCTCAGACATGAAGAACAAGCAAAGCAGAGATCTGCCGCGGAACGTTTGTGAATGCTTACCTCCATCTCGTCCAATTTTCTCGTCTGATCCGGCGGAACGGTGACATCGGCTATAGCTGAATGGGCGTGCTCCGTCTCTGTTGCTTTCAGAATGGACTCAAACATTCGCCAGGCAATGTCTTGGAGATCTTGTCGGCCCGTCATCCTGTATAACAGAAATATGCTCTCAATAGCTTCAGGACGGAGGATATATCTCGGGTCGCGGGCATTTCGGAAGCCCTTCTTCAACCTCGGATCTCCCTCGCTCTTCCACCTTGACTCATCCCAGAGGCATTCGTCGTCCTTCTGGGTATCGCCGGTCTTCCGGGCTTCGCAAGGAATGAGGTTGAAGTTCTCCGGCATCACGCCGGACGGAAACGCGTCGTACGCCCATGCACATCCTCGCGCGACCTTCTCACCCAGAGCAACATGGTTATCGACGGAGAAAAGTCTGCCCCCAAGCCCAAGCATACCACCCGCAAAGCATGCGAGGTGTTGGCCATCAGACACGTGCTCTATCCGGTCGGCGTAGACGAAGGCATCGCCAGCGAAGAGGATGTCATCTCGATCTGCGACCATGGGCCGAAAAAGTATGTGTTGCTCTGCTATTGCCATGGCTCCAATGTACATCTTCTCGTACGACGGATCTCGGCCGCCGAGTAGCGCAAACATTTTGGGTAGATACTCGTATAGTGAATCTGCCAAGGCTCCCAGCGTGAAGCTATTATCGGTATCAACTCGTTCTTCTCTGAAATTGATCATCTTCGGCCACATCCCAGGAAGTTTAGACTTGAATTGCGTGCCTTCCAGAAACCTCGTAATGCGATCCACGGCATCGAAGTATTTCGGATTTCCCGTCAGCTGGGATAAACGGGTAAACTCCATAGCTAATGAGCCTGGAGAAGCTGACGGGTCGTGCGTGCCAGCTAGCTGGGTTCCATTCCTGGCGTCTTCGAAGTTGACCCAAAAGCCCGGTAGGCGATTTGGGGTATCAAATCCCATATAAAGCATATCACCTAATTCTTTCGCTTTATCGAGGAGGGCAGGCTCGCCACTGAGATCGTACGCACTAAGCAGGCCGCCTAGGTGTCTTATCGTGGTCTCGAACATATTTATGCTGGTGGCTGTTGTGTTGGCCCAATCCAACTGTACAGCTACGCTGGCCGCGGCGCGGAACTCATCCTTGAGCTCCATGATCCAGAGCGTGTCGAGAGAATCAACCAGAGTCGCAGCCCATCCTCCAAATGTGTCCTTAGCCCCAGCGCTTACGGGCGCTAACTCATCCCGACCCCAGGCAAATTTCTTGTAGCTGTTCCAACTTCGGATGAATACATCGCGGACGGCCTTTTGTCGCTTCGGGGCCTCTGGATGCGGATTACCTACGCCGAACTCGTGCTGGATCGAAGGAAGGCCTAGCGGTTTACCCGTTGGTAGGGGCTTGAAGGAGGTGACGGGGTGATGTTGCTCCACGGTCGCCCAGTCGAAAGAACTCTTGCGAAATGTGATCTCCTCAAGTCGGCTGCTGGTGCTAGGGAATAATAGAATCGGTCTAGATTCGAATGGAGGAAAAATTAAGAAGACTGTGACAAAGACCGCGGCGAGAAAGACAGCCAAGCGAACGGGGCGCCGTGGCGCAAGTAGGCTCTTGGAGCGCATACGCATCTCAACGGTATCAACACCAGACGCGCATCGTGCGATGTTCCGGATCTAAAAGGTTGCGACCAGACGAAGGTAAGATGGCTGAATAAAGCAGCCAGACTGCCATTGAGACGAACAAACTGGCCTCATCGGTGCAAGAGGTCTGGGACGACACGAGCTTCATATAGCTCGGTAATTTCGGTCAGTTTCAAAGGCTATTCGTGGTGGAGGGTTACGCGGATCGTCGTTGTGGACACTCAGAGATTGGGCCGTGGGAGCTTCATGCCGGATAGCGTTTGTTGCAGGAAGGTAGCATTACCATGTTGCAGGGAACTCTACCGGCGGGAACAAAGCGACTATCATTTTAAAGTGCACTGATCGACAAGTTCTGCTAGACGAAACAGTTTCGATCAAGTGGCGGGACAAACTCAAATTCAATGCCACCTCCTTGCAACCGTCGACGCCTCTCCTACTGGTTACCAACGCACGGGACGGAGCCGAAACCGACGAGGCGAGCACTCGCGTTTGGCTGAAAGTTGGGATGTTCCAGCAAATTGCTTTGCTCATTTGTTAATTTGTCACCAATTCAGGCTTTTCAATGGGCTGGTCATCCGCGTTGTAGGCCGGACGAACCCGGGAATTCCAAGACCCTGCTTGACTGAGTTTCTGATCCCACTCAACTTGAGTTGTCACTGAAAACCTTATTTCCTCCACACAATCACAACAAGCTTTCTATTGAGTTAGAACAGTCGGTACCCTTGTCAAGATCAGCAAGAAAACACGAAGTTTGCCGCACTCTGCCGCACTCTGCTGCACGCGATACGCGTCGCGTTTAGATATGCCGGGTTCCTGGAGAACTGCGGCGTCAATAACAGATGAGAAACTTGAACGAACTCGAGATTATGATGTTGTGCATTTTGGCAAAGTCACGCTAACTTCAACATCATTCTAAGTTCTTGGTTTTGTCTCATCTAACACCAATGCCAGATTCTGAATAGCTGCCAGACCATACAGCGCGGTGACATTGCTAGAAACCCCCACAGCCTCATCTGCAGGCTCAAGAACATGGTTCTTACTCACCGGGGTGCTTTTCCAGACAGCGTTCGGGCCATAGTCCCGAAAACCATCCCCATTCTCAAATTCTGCCAACGCGCGTTCCGCCAAATCAGGTCTGTCGAGCTCCTTCGCTGCATAGGCAGTCAGGCGAGAGTGCCCTTGTCTAAGCTGCAGTCTGCCCCAGCCAGATTTACCGTATCGAGTCTCCTGTTCCTCCAAACTAGCGCTGAAGAAGATGTAATACTCTAGCCATGCATGTCTGAATCCAGTTGCGTTTGCTTTCTCCGGAAAATGCTGCAGAATATCGGCCGCCACCTCAAACAGCCCGAACATGGCTGATAGGTGGGAAACCTTCACTACCCCTTGGTTTTCAGGATCTGCGGCGGGTGGTGAGATGGCTCCGGTTGACGGATTGTAAGTCGCATTCCCGGTAACAAAGCCGTTGGCAAGAGCACCAATCCCTTCAATCGACCTGAAAAGCTTACTCTTGGCCTCAGTCCATCGTGGCCCTCGTCGTTCAAACTCGACAAGCCAAGAGGCTGCCAGCGATGCCCAGTCAGTTCCCAGGCTGATTTCGACAGCATGTGCATCTGGACTGTAGGTTTCTCTGTCCTTTCGGACCTTCCGGTACGGATCGAGGACCAGAAACTTTTGATCCGTATCGAGCGTCTCTTCGATAAGTTCCCCAACACGTTCATCACCGCCAGACAGGTAGTAGAAAAAGCGGCGATACAAGGCGTTCGATATACGGGCTTGTTTGCAGCTATCGCTCCAGTGCTGCACGCCATGTCGTGTGCCGAGACCCTTATAACGCCCAAGATGGTAAACATCCACCTCCCCAGTATGACGAGTCAATGCTTCCGCCATGCAGAACACATCAGCTCGACCGGTCCGCAGAAAGTACAGCCAGAGCCATAGATCTGGTGATAGCTCGGAGTTGTCCCAGGCGTATCCGCCAATATCGTATCGCCAGGTGTGTCGGTCTTCATCATACGTGTGCATGATATCGCCATGGTCCCAGAACCCGTACCAACGCCTTTGTTGCACTTGCTTCTCGTAGAATTGAAATAGGAACTCGAGGCGTTCATCGGTGGCTGAAAGGCCGTTGGCGGATTCATTCGACAATGGAGACCAGTATGTGCCGAGGGCTTGGCTAAGGTGAATGGCTTCCGGGCTGGATAATAACTTTGGAGGATCTCGAATCAGGTAAGCCAGTGACAAGAACTCACGGCCATCTGGCGTTGAGTCCGTCACCGAGATCATCAGCTCATTCGTGCGGGCTATCCCGTAAGGCGACCCGAGCTCCGGTTCCCAATCCTCGTAAGTGATCTTCAGGGCGTCCAGTTGATCGTCAAAACCTTGTTGACCCAAGCCGTCATGATAAGGGCGAAGGTCCATGGGCCCGGCTTTGGGGTCGTACAGCCAAAGGGTCACTTCGGTGGTGTCTCCTTGAGAGGCACCGAGGCCTCGAATGTCGATTCCGGTTGGGTATCGTTCCCAGAAGTGTCTCGACCCGATGGCCAACCCTCCTCGATTAGCGCCACCGACATAAACAACTCCTCCCGCCTTGGTACCACTGGCGGTCTTTATCCACGGATGGCCTTCCTTCAGTCGTTTCTCGAGCGTAAACCCATCTGGCGAGAGTTGATGCAGGCTGAAGTCATTCCAGATAGGCATCCAGCGCAGAGAAGCTTGGGGTAGCTCCGGGTCCCAACTCTCAGGAGATGGCAGAGGCTTGCCCTGCACCTGAGCAGACCTGACCTCTCGCCCAGGGTCCTTCCAAAGCCCAGTCAGCCCCTGAGAAGCCTCGGCCAGAACGCCTCCTGATGCTCCAGAGAATCGTACATGGCGATCGAAGGCCGGCTCTTCCTGTAAAGGTAAATTGAGACGGATCCCGATCCCTCGAATAAAGTCGTTTGCACTGCCGTCATATGTTATGGTGTGAAGTATTCGGATATGACAAGACCCGGCATATAGATAGAACCTGAGTGTGAAGGGTACCCATGGTTTGTGGGCCTTGACAGTCGACTCGCCTTCTTGAGATTCTTCGACATGGACTCCGCGAACGGTAATGACAGCGCGAATGGGCCCAGTCTGCTCAGCTTCCACAGAGCTGATCCTTCCGTAGAAGTTATGGTGCTTTACCAGAGAGTCCGGTTTATCGGCATCACAGACACGATCCTGGGAAAGTAGAATCAACTTGCCGCCAGCACCAACCGTGTTGCCCTTAGCATTAACAACTTTCTTGATGATCTCGTTTCCTGTCTTTGCAAACATTATCTTCATCCTCCCGGTGTTAACTGAGATGAATTCGGAGTCTTTCTCAACCATGAGCGCATCCGGAAATTGTGTCTTGGCGTCCGACGAGTCAACTGCAATAACACGGTAACTCTCCTCTACTGTCGCCGATGCAGGAATTGCGTGACTTGTCCATTTCATAGACTCGTCAGGCCAAAATGCTGTTGGCCATGTCTGCAGTGGAATCTCGCTCCCACTCTCCGTTTTGCAAACGAATGCAGTATTCGACTGGTGACAGACTCCTTGCCGCCAGGGCACTCCAAATGTGACCCCTGGGTTCGAGGATGGTCGTTTCCTGAGCCAGTGAATAAATGTTTCCCGATGAGACTCCATTGATGAGACGAAAGCTCTTCAGTGATTTGATTTGCGCAAAAGTCCTAACCGCAGAGAATACAGCGACCTAACACAGAATCGGGACCGAGGGAAGGAGTAGGGCTGAGAAACGGCGCAGCCATGGAACCGTTTTGACGGGCTTGCCAAGCCCTAAAGTAATCTTCCAAGGCGTGGTGATCAGGGGTCTCATGCATTGAAGCGGATTAGAGTTGATGTTGTCATTCGGAGGATTCTGACGTGTTACGGAGCCACCGCCAAATGCCGGACCCGGGCGGAGAAAGTAGTGGGGCCGCACTGGATGAGTCTCGCCGATGATCGCGCTCCATTTCGGATTGCTGTCGGCTCTGGACGCCGGAGGGTCCGCTGGAAGAATCGCCGAATGGCTTTTGGCTCAGTTAGATACATAGGTATAGCCAACCGTGCATTTGGCATGAACCTGCATCCAGTTTGTTGCGGTAGGAACAGTGTACATAAGCCGACATCACCACGCATGTTAGAAGCCGAAGTGCATTATTCCTGCGATGTCTACTCCCTAAATAGCTCCAATGTATAGACGAATTGCGGACAATATCTTACATTTGTCTCGGGACTCAGATCAAACAAAGACAAACAGTGAAATGGGAACGCTGTCCTACTTCAGCCGAAGCTGAAGGTCTTTCAGGATTGTCTGGAAGACCCGATTCAGTTCATCCCATCCCAACCGAGTTGGCTTCCAAGTCGGCTTGGCAAAGTACACACCTGCTGCAATGACCCCAAGACCAAATACCCAGGGAATAACCTTCCGCAAGCCAGTGAAGAAAGCGAGCTTGAAGAATCGATTCTGCCTCGTTCTCACGCGCTCAAGGTGCTCTTTCCTCTGGTTCGCCACCGGAAAATCGACGCCGCTCGGGACGTCCTTACCCAGAAACGCGCACAATGGCGCCCAACCATCCTCCAACTTGAACTCCAGAAGCCGGTCCTTGGGCACCACAGCCCGGACCTCTGCATAGTGCTTCCTGTAACGGTCTTTGGCGACTTCTCTCATGTCCTTTACGTTTTGGACGCCGTAGAATCCCAGCAGGATCTTCCTAAGAGTCCTCCCGCCGTTCAAGCCCCATGCCGGCCCCAGAAAATCAATGATCAGGTTCGCGCGCAAGCCCCAGGTGGTCTTGAAGATGGCTTCGTCCATACTATGGAACCAGCTCTCGACATCGCGCTCAACGAGAATGACCTTGGCCTCGGGATACGCCCCAATGAGTTGTAGGGCGAAGAAGGAGCCCATATCAGTGACTGCTTCGTAGGAGCCGAATAGAGCTTCCCAGTCTTTGCGTGTAAAGAGCGCGCCATTATGAGTTGGAAGTGTGGGAAACACGGCGTCCGCGGCGCGAGAAAATAGCGCCCATTCGCGGGGCGAAGAGATGGCCTGGATGCCGTGGTGGACTCCCTTAAAGCCCAATATTGTGAGAGCTTTAGTGATCGAAGCAGAGCCTATGTAGTTGTTCAGTCCCCTGTAGACATGCGTGACTACAACGCTTTAGGTACGAACCAGTCCGTGTCATTCCCAACGAGAGGACCTTCATCTCTTTAGCGGGCAGAGGCGCTGAAGCCGCTGGTACAGGAGTTGGGGCCGCCATTGTTGCGGGAGTGCTTTACCGCTAAGGCCAGCGTTTGAAGCTTCTGTTGTGAGCAATGATAGACTAAGGGCGAGAAGAGTTGGTCAAGGTGGGAAATTGACAACTGAATGAAGAGGCAATTAAGACTCGATTTCAATCGAATCAATCTCTTGACCTCTGAAAAACATCGAGATAAGAAGCAATCGATCATTGATATCAACAGACAGTCCCAAACACGTGGACAAGTGACAGGCGCTCAGGTCCTGCTGTCGAGAGTGTTTCCGCCGAGGGATCCCTGGTCTTCAGGGGGCGAGTCATGAACTTCGCTGAAGCTTATTAGTCTTGGCCCCTATTACCAGTGGATCATGTCTTTCCAGGTTGCTATACTCCGGAGACACATTCAGTGCTGCATTCCCCTCAATCTTTCGGGTACCGAGTGGTTCATGGGAACTAGTGGACATCATCACAATAGGGTCAGGTTATCAGTACCACTGAGGTGCGCCGGTGAGTTGCCCTGCTTGACGAACTATGTATCTTTGATGGTGTCAGCAGTAGGGTTTGCTTCATCTGTCGTCCTTTCAAGAGCGATGTTTTGAGAATCCAGAACACTAGACTTTGAAGCATTATTTGGAAGCAGTCAAGAACTTGTTAGTTGACGTCTCTCTTCGTACAACAGACTCTGTTTCTGCTTGTCTTGTCTCTAAACATCCTTTACAGCTGGTCATAGGGCATGCACACGCTGAACCATAATTACCTACGGTGTGTTTACCCAAAGAAAACTAGATCAAACCCTTCCCAAACTCCCCTCTCCTGCGATCCAAACCATCCAACAAGCACTTTATGAAGCTTCTTGAACCAGAAGCTTGCTCTTCCCAGCCAAATCCGCAGCCAGTTGTCTCATGGGAATATTGGCCATGATGTCAAATACACTAACCTCAACCGCCACCTCCTTTGCAATCCAATTCCTGACCTCAACAGCAACCAAACTGTCGACGCCATAAGCGCTCAGTGGCTTGCCCGCATCTACATCGTCCTCGGGCATCATCATCAACTTAGCTAGGCGCTGCACCAGAGCAGAGGTAATCAGGTGCACAGCCTCGTCGTCCGCCTTGCCACAGCGAGCCAGCTCTTCGCGAAGAGACACAGTGGCAGATCCGCCCGCTCCGGAGCCCGCGGCAGTCTTCCTTAGGCCAGCGAACCGCTGGTCCTGGATCCAGTACCACGCGTCGTCATGCTCGTTATAGGGTAGTCCGCACATGACCTGCGGAGGATGCGCTTCAGAGCCTTCAAGCGCAGTGGCCATGAGGCCGTGGAGGTCGCTCTTGTGCATCACCTTGAGACCCATAGCCTTGACGTGGTCTACGTACTCATCATGCTCGGCCACGAAGCCGATGCTAAGGAGATAGCCAATGTCAATTGTCATGGCGCGCAGGCCCTGACTGCGGCGGTACGCCGCGAAGTAGTCCTGGAAGATATTGCCGCACCCGTAGTTGCCCTGTCCGCGGTGGCCCATGACGCCGGCGAGGGAGCTGAGCATCACGAAGAAGTCGAGATCTCGCGGAAGGAGCTCGTGCAGGTTCCAGGTTCCGTGGACCTTGGGTACGACAGTTGTGCGGACGTGGTCCGCAGTCATCTTGTCAAAGAGGGTATCCTGTTGTGGGTTGTCAGCAACGAAATTATCCCGCTGGCGTTGGGAGCTTTGACTTACTCTGAGAACCATGGCACCGGTCACACATCCCTTCACAGCAGGGACACCCTTTGCCTTTAAGTCCTCCAACACCTCTTGAAGGGCAGCCTTGTTGCCAACATCGCAATCATATGCATAGGTGTTAGCCTCATAAGTCTTCTGGAGCTCAGAGGCGAAAGCCTTGTTCTCCTCACTGCTGGCGGCAGAGCGAGAGAGCAAGACGAGATGCTTAGCACCCTTCTCTGCAAGCCAGCGTCCAATCTCCTTACAGATACCACCAACACCGGCGACGACGTAGGTTGCGTCTTCTTGAATGTCCACACTCGGCATGCGTGGGACGGCGGGGACCATATCCGAATCGTCTACCCGAACGACTACCTTGCCCATGTGCTTGCCAGCCTGCATATGACGGAAGGCCTTCTCGACCTCGGCCATGGAGAAGAGCTGGATCGGCGCGATGGGCTTGACGGAGCCATCGTGGATGAGCTTCGCTGTCTCTTCCCAGAGAGCTACTGCGCGGGGAGTGGGGTTGTTCTCGAAATCGAGAAGATTGACGCCGATGTAGCTCTTGTTGTCGAGGAAGGGCTTCATGTCGAGGCCCGTGTTGGCGAAGAGGTCGGCCTTTCCAATTTCCAAGAAGCGACCGAATTTGGCGAGGCAGTGCCACGACAGACGAAGGGCTTCACCAGCTAAGGAGTTGAGAACGACATCCACGCCCTGGCCATTGGTGGCCCGCATGATAGCCTTTGCAAAGCTGGTATCACGGCTGCTGAAGATGTGATCTTCAGGGATTCCATACTGCCCCATGATGAGCTGCTTCTTCTCGTCCGAGCCGACAGTTGCAAAGATCTCAGCGCCCTTGCGCTGCGCGATCATGATTGCAGCTTGACCGACACCTCCGGCAGCGGCATGGATAAGAATCTTCTCATCTTTGATCAGGCCCCCGGCGGTTACCAGGGAGTAATATGCCGTGAGAAAGATAAGGGGCATCGACGCTGCCTCCTCGAAAGTCATCTTTTCAGGAACGGCAATGGCACCCTTGGCCGGGAAGCGGACGTAGGTCGCAAAAGTGTCGCAAGAAGCAGTCATGACACGATCGCCGGGCTTGAAATCCGAGACCGCTGAGCCGACGCGAGTGACGACTCCAGATGCATCAACACCGAGCTTATTCTCGGCGAGATTACCCAGGGCGACGAGTACATCCTTGAAGTTGAGGCCCACTGCCTTGACCTCGACCTCGATCCAGTCTTCAGGCAGAGGCTGGTAGTACGTCTCGTCTTCTTCCCATCTGAAAGTGTCAAGAAGACCAGGTGTCTTGATGGTGAGCTTGAGAGGCCGTCCGCATCCCTTGAACGAGACAAGCTCCGGTTGTCCCTTGGCTTCAAACTTTCGAAGGAAGCCGTCGACGTTGAGAGTTCTCTCTACTCTCGGAATGTAGACGGTGCTACCGCGAGCTGCGAATTCGCCGTCAAACCCGTCACCACTGCTGTGAGTCGAGGCAACCTTTAGGACATTGCTAGCAGCCTCTTCAAAGTTGATGCTGCTAGAGGTCTCCAGGTCGAGTGTAGCCAGGCGAATGCCTGCGTTCTCGTTGCGAATGGCCCTTGAAAGACCAATCATCAACGATTTCATCGGCTCAGAGCATTCCATCGCAGCACCGCCAGTGATCCAGAGAGTTCCAGAGGATCCAAGAATTACCTGGCGCAGCTTCTCCCAGTTCTCGTCCGTGAGATTAGCAAGGATGGGGTTCTCCCACTCAGCGAGGCAGAGACAGTACTTTCCGTCGACCTGGCTCTCTGAGACCTCATTCCACTGAGTGATCGACACA